CTGAAGAAAGAGATTCGATATTTGACCTATGCTATATATAAGGAAATATTTCATTTATCGCACGTATCAAGCCGCCGAATGCGCTTCCGAGCGTGATAAATCAGAAATCGATCACGGTAACGTAGACCACGTTACAACCAGATTGTACGTTACTTCAATGACGCAATCAATTTATCGGTACATTAACGAATGACAAAAGGTTTTAATTTATCGTTCCGGCGCGACCGATGCCCAACTGCGTTTGAAAATACACTTGTATCAACTACTTCGCAATTTTCAAGGCTTTTGTTTCTTATAATTGGGATCATACAAATGACGGGATTGTATGCATCATTCGCAGTCATGGATAGTGGAACATTCTTTTCTTCTTTTATCATCATCAATATGCATTGTATATAATTAGTCACCTATTTGCAACTTCTGATGGAAATCAACTTCCGTACAGCTCACCATTTAAAAATATATACGATTAATCAATGTACGAATAGACGGATCAGTGAAATTCAGGTTAAAGAATAATGCGATAAATCAAAATATACGATCTCACGAATAATTAGGAAGTCCCGTACGCGACATAAATAAATAACATGTTATTTATTATCATTTAACACTGTGAAATACGATCCGATATCGTTTTGATCAACATTTATCGGAAACGTCTGCAGGATAAATGTAAATATCCCTACGCGACTTATTATTCTCACGTAATTTGGTAAAACACATGGGTCATATAATCACATAATCTTATCACATTCGTAATCTATACAGAATACACACGTATTCGTTTTCTCATAATATTATGTGGAATAACGATTACTTCCGCCCCCAAAGCAGCGATCACTATTTTATAGCTAATATTTGTAGTGAAATGTTTGCAAAGTCGATTATTTTGCGATAATAAATACGCTACTCTTCGCGTTTCTCTGTCCAACGAAGAGCTGTGCAAATTTACATCGATTCTCTACCATTGTGCTTGCTCAATCTTTGTCTTCCGTATACTTACAAACACTCAGAGAAGCAAGTCTCAAGAAAACGTATTTCTAAAATATTTTTTTTCATAATATTATCGTATCAATTTTAAATTCAATTTATTGTTTCTCGTATTATAACGCAAATATATCATATAGTATGTGCACACAAATTTTTATTTTAAGTGAAGAAAGTGACATTTTTTTGCATAGCAAATACCCTCGCGATGATTAAATTGTTGCGAAACTAATTAATAATATCGTTTTTTGTTTGATATTTTCGAAACTGTTGTAACTTTGTAGAATGAGAATGCGTCTTCAAATAGGCCTGAAGTAATATAGGACATTTACATTTCTATGATTTCAGGCATAATATACAGAAGCTCGTGCGACTAGCGTGAAATATAGTCTGATATTTTCTTCACACAGTACAAAACTTCATACTCAACTTTCATGGGTTTATCATAAACCGTCGCTTCCATCCAAGAAAAATTCTAAAGTGCTTCTTGAGCCTTGCAAAAATACAAAATTAATACAGAGACTATTATATATTTTCTCCTTCTTTACACATATTTGACAAATACGACTGGCGTTAGTCCGGTCGCCACTTTTAACAATTTATCGTATTAGGAAATTATCATTGTTTTGCGATTTCGCTAATTAATTAAACGCTACATCATAATCCTTGTTGATATTCTTCTCAAACTATTTTACATATATTATTCACCAATGTATGTATCAGCTGTCCGCAACATTTTCTACTCTGCCAAGTGCACGATGATCGATTGTGTGCATTTAGAAGTAGGAAACTAGTTTAACTGATCGGTCAAGTGTCAAATGTCCCGCGAAAGAAAAATACCCTTTGCCCCTTCTCCCGGGAAATTGCAAACAAGCTGGGAGAAATTTTCCAGCGTTTCTTTTCTCTTCTCCAAATTGCCGACAGAAAAAATCATCAACATCTCGCTTATCACGGATTTATTCGTTAGTTTCCACGTTAACTCTCTCGGTGCCGGATCGCTTTTGTAAGCCGTGAAGTTCTACAGCCGGGACGATGGCAGTTGACGATTCGAAGTATCGGCGAAGTATTAAATCGATAGTTACTACGTTCTGTTACGGACTTGGGAGTTTGGTGCGTACGCTTGGCGCGAATAATCGCTCGGAGCTTCGGAGTCCGGGACTTTGACGTGAGTGAAGCATGCGATCTAAAAGTTTCCAAGTGACGCACGTACAAATTGCAGCGCCGACTACGGCCATGGCCAGTTCTTAGCGGCTAATGTCATCGTCTTTATCACAGCGTCTCTCTCTTCGTCGCGGCATACAACAACGAACGCTCTGAATCGCAGCTTCTGTCCGTAACGGGCCAACTTACTGTCTGCCTGTTGTACGTGTATATAAATGTGTATGCATGTGTGTGCCAATCCCGCTTTGATATGCGCATAAATGAGAGGACGTTCCCGAGAGACATATCGCTTTTAGCGTGTTCTCTGTACAGAATGATGTATATCATACGTTCCGTCTTTCTACACGGATTGCTCTGCGACGTATGCTATCGTGGTATTTCTCTCACGGCTATGTGTGCGAAATCGCAACGCGAAAGACACAAGTAGCTTCTTATCCCGCACACCTCAAAGGGTTCAAATGGTATGGAAATTCACGCGAGGCAGTTGCTCGATCGCTCGCTCGCATCGCTGAATAAAAGAGCGCGGCGGAAGTTTCAGCGGACAAACTGGCCGCGGGGAACGCGGGAGAGATACGCGGTAAGCCGAGAATTTAAAAGCGACGACGGTGAAAGAAAGGATAAAATGGCGAGGGAAAAAAGTATCGGCCACGTTTGCATTTCGGATATCGCTGTCGAATCGCTCGACGGCAATTTATATGTTTCGCGCTGCCGACGGCTATCGTGTGCATGTCCTCTTGGTTCTGATATCTATAAAATAAAACTAAGAGATCATCCGCCACGTTCACACGATCTCTTGCACATTCGATGTCATAGATCCTTGACCATTACAACTAAAGTTACTTGTATGATTTTCAACCTTATACCATACATGTAAGTACGAGGTTGGAAATCGTATATGTAATTTTAGTTACAATGGCCAGAAATGCATAACGCCGTCTCTACGTTATTTTACACGTAAATTCGTGCTTGTACCGTAACGTTCGACTTGGTTAGATCCGAATCAGCCCCGGTAATTTTATTACAGAATACTAATCGACAAGGAAGATATCAATGTTAACGCTAATGAGCTACATCGATTACGTTCATAGCTTTTGATTTATGTTCTGTATGTGCAATCGATGGTTTATTTTCAATCGTTCATCTTGTTACAGAAATTGCATTGGTTAATATTAAACAGGAGAAAAAACGGCCGGCGGTTAACGTGTATATGTGTGCGTGTCTTGTACGCTCAAACAAAATTTCGAGATATTCCGCACGGCGTTCCGCCCGGTAATCTGCGAAGATAAACTCGATAATCCAACCTACATCATCCCTTATCGCTGCAACTTAATTAAAGCTCTTGTTCTAATTAAGAATTTTATCATCCTTACGTACGCTATTTACATGATTTATGTCTTTATCATCATTCCTAAATATGTACGGAGTATATCAGATACTGCAGGAGTTTCTCTGTGAAACAATCTACTAGTTTTTAATAAAACGTAACATAACAATAACATTTGTTCTCAACTAAATCATATTTTATACATAAGTCATAAATTTGTATAAGTAATTTTGTATATATATGTAATAGTTTTTCATTTATTAATACAGAAATAGTAGCAATTGAGATTGTTTTTTCCAAAATCCCTTTGTATAATTATTTGCAAAATCCCCCCTGCATAATTATGCATGTATCGTTAATGATACTGCAGTACTTTATATATGCGTAATATTTGTAATTATAATGATATTTATATCGCAGTTGTGTTCTTATCACGTGTACATCCTTTTTCTCGTCATTCCCGTTACGTGTCAATATATTCAAGAGAGGACAACGTCAGACAAGCTGAGCTTTTACCGTCATAACTGCTGACAGTTCTTTGATCATATTTTCGCGTCGTTTCTTGCATATGTCACCATCTAGAAATCTATTCGAGATATAGAGTTGACAGTGTAAAGTAACATGTCCTAGAAAGGAAACGTGCGCTCGAGTAAGCAATACATTGCTCAATTTATGCTCATAATGTTATGTTACCAGTTCCATCGCAACTATAAAATCTAAAAAAAAGTAGCTTTTCAATGACATCATATTTCATTAGGCAACAGTTGCCAATATATTGCATGAAATAATTAATGCAGAAAAGAAATCTGAAATTGCTTGTTCCGTTATAAGTTACTTTATCGATTAGCGCGCAACTGACATAATTTACCAAGTACCGAGTTATTCTGTGTTTTTCGTATATTCCTCTGAAGGCACCCGTATTAAGAATACGCTCGGATTGTCACGTCTTTGTCTTTAGGAATAAATGATAAAAGTTGTGTATATCAGTCATGAATTTAACCATCGAAATTGTTCACATTTTTTATATAATATTATAATTTCATTATTTTCGTGTAATAATTTCGGTAGTTAATTTTAAATAAAATCGTAAAAGGAGATTATTGTTTATCGAGGACAAAGTATAAACATTCGAGAGAATAATTCAGAACTATGTGTATTCTGCATCTTTCTGTACGCGGAACAACAACCAGCAGGATGTGATGATAAGAACCTTCGTTTCTCCCAAAACAACTTCGCTTCCTATTGAATCAATCTGCGAAAAAGTAGCACACACACGCAAGCGGAGAAAGCAGGAAGACGTCAAAGGACACGTGCGTCCCAGCGAGCGCTGGGACAGAAATATGGTAAAGAAAACGGTCGTCGAATTCATAAAATCTCTATCCAGGAAAGAAAGGACGTACGAACCGCGCGCGCATACTGTAATCTTATCGGATATATGTAAATCGTCGTCGGGACTTTTCGTTTGAGGAAAGAAATCACGTTCCCCGTGATTTTTCATGAAGCTCTCTTCATAACGCTCATTACTTACATTTTCGTCGAGCATTTCATTATTTCTTCTTCATTTTGAGATGATTTGAGTACCTCCAGTTTCGCGTGTAAATTCCTGCCGTAAGTACGAAGCAACGCAGCGAGAAGCTTATTGGGGGTGAAGGAGGATGAAGCATAACACACCTGCCAGTCGTTAATGAAAACAATTTACATTGAGGAAGTTTGCGACGAGCGCAACAAGTAGATAAGATAATGCGAACGGGCGGATAAGTGAACCGCTGAAAATCCACGTTGGTGAATTATTAGCATGAGGAGAGAATGAAAATCAGACGTTACGACCGCACTTCCTCCCTATTTCGCGAAAATGTCCCGCGGAGAATCAACTGTGGATAGCTCGTTTCTTTCTTACGCAACACCCCCGCGGGAGCGCAGTTGCCATTCTATCTGCACAATGCATCGTCGACTATTAATTTCGTGCATAACACTATCCTGCGTAGAATATATTCGCGCGAATACAAGCGCACGCGCGTTTATGTGCGCACTCGAGAGAATGGAACGAAACACTGCGACTCGTGAGTGAGACTCGTTCCTGAGAGTACACACCACCGCACACCGAGATATTCTATTATCGCGGCGCATTGATATTTATTACACTGCCTTGTGCAATCTGAATGCGCGGTCGCTTGTGCTGCAGATATCACGAATTCTCCAGACTGTGGCCAAACAGCCACGCGGGGTAATCCAACCAACTATTTCGGCATTATAAAAGTCGTGACAGAACACAACGTTCCCGTCGCGAAATCGTGTGCGGCATATGCATTCGGTGTTCGGATATTCTTTTAATGTCGGGTTCTCTCGCGGGACAATGAAAGTCGCAAGCGGAGCGAAAAGGAGTCTCTCACTCGCTCGCGCATGAATTCTCTCCATTGGGACAATTTACTAGATGCACAAACAATGATATACCTATATACGTCATTCAGTTCGAAAAATCGCGCAAATTGTTGCTGATGCTGTAAAAAAATGTTGTCCTCATCGTCGCGACAAATCGCCATTTGTCTCATTGAATTTCTCCTACGAATGGTAAGTTGTTGCTAATTTTGTTACCCGGTGCGTTTCAGAAGAAGAGCCGCGCCGTTTCTCCCCCTCTTTCTCTCTCTTTCTCGCTTTGCAGTTCCCAATATCGTAAACTCCATTATTTAAACATAAACTGCAGCGCAAATCAATGATAATCTTTTTACGAGTTTTTACGAGTGTTCTTTGACTACCAGAGATGCGAGAACGCTCTCTTAAGAGCTCTTGTTTGCACATTATGCGTATCTGAATAAATTTCATGAAAACAACTTCTAAATGTTCTCAAAGCAATCTATGAATTTTTTGAAGAGCACGCGAGATTGTCTTGGAAAGGAGTTCCTCCGACGGAAGGGGCTAGGGGCAGTTCTTCTTTAAAAGGGGCTTGATTCCTTGCCAGGTACACTTTTAAGCTAGCGTTTGCACAAAGCCTGATCTTTTCTGTTATCGATTTTCAAGAACATTTAGAGAGATTAAGAGAGCGCGTTTTCAGGAAGTACGCGAAGTTATCCGCGTACTTCGTTGCCGCTCGTATTGCCCTTAAGCGTTTCCAACGCGACCAGAGCAGGGAGAAGAATAAAATGCGTAAGTGGCCAGACTCGCGATAGCGAAGTATAGTGGGACATATTGATTTTTTTATTCGTAAGTACACATTGGCGATATTTCGGCACTCAAGAACAATCAGCTGTAAGTATAACTTACAATCGATGAGAAAAATGTCGGTCGTTCGATATTTGCGCAGACAAGTCATTCTATCTTAGAACAAGATACCGAAATTTCTCTGGTAGAGTCATCCGTTTCTCATAACAATCACTGCCCTATTTTTTACTTCCCGAATATCTAACAGACTTATATCCGTGTCGGCCACGGAGCGTACCGTAATGTCATCTGCAACACTGTACGTTGCCGAGATGGATTCGGCCAAGATTAATGAAAAAAGTTTATATGCGCATATGGTCAAAGTGTGTCGTATCGCGAAACGGAAGCACGTACGAGCCGAGCAGCGCCTTCATGGTAGCTGAGAATCCGTTTTATCCTGGACTGATCTCACAAGTTGAGCCCCGCGGTTTTTACATATTGCACCGCTTAAAATTCATCATATGCGACATTTGTCGGCGACGTCGAAGCAGTCCCGCCAAGAGTGCAGTCAAGTCACCAAGGCGAGCACCGGCTGGATATTGCGAACGATAGTCGCAATTGCGTCGAAACCGCATCACCGTTCATGTGTGAAACGTGTGTGAAACCATGAGGTTTCAGGTTATTTTTATCTTGTATCTCGCCCTCTAAGAGTACTTCTCCCTGCGTGCGTTACGACATGTGTTACTGCGACCAGCGGTATTCCTCGACAGTTGAATGTCGAGATGGAAGATCGAAGGGCTCCGCATATCTTTAAGGGTGTTCCATCATCGCCCGGCTATTTGCACTCAATTACATTAGGCTGTTTAGTTGTTTATTCGTAGTGTATTGTCGCGAGTCAACCTCGACGTCGTGATTCAATCTCGACAGAGAACGTCGCCGCGGCATGCTCCGAAGAGAAAATTCAATGAATATTTTAATATACCATGCATACTCTATACGTATGCTTCATTACACAGTTGCAGCAGGCAGTACATCGCTTGTATCAAATGCGGGGAAATGATATCACGTGCACGAACATCCGATGAGTTTATCTTCGTTAAAAGTAGCGCGCATAACAATAACGTGCATTACTGCCTGTTGATGATGAAGTAACACGTGGTTCATTCTCAAGAAAAGGAAAAAGCGAGGAACACGGCTAAAATGGATGAGCAAACAAAAACTATCGGAAATATCGATACGAGAGAGATTGTTCCCTCGAAAGTTCCTCCTGCGAGAAAAGGCAATCTCGATGCGTTCTTCGCGGTAATTCTTGTTTTTTTCATGTCACTATCGTATGCTCCTCGAGGTCTACGGACAAGCTATTAATTAACGACGCGCCCTGTTGTCGCGCGGCGGCTTAAAATATACAAGAAAAAAAAACGGAGAAATAGCGGAAAATTAAATCAAAATATCCATATGCGAAAGAGTGTGGTAAATTAATGCCGATAGTTCACGCGAAATGTACGCTTTAATACAATAATCTCAACGTCAGCGCAATTTTTGCGGATGTACCTTCCGCCAATCTACCTGCTATGTAGCCGGGTGACGCAAATACAATAGAATGCGCGAACGGAAAAATTAAGAGAAGCGCGAAAACCATCGTCGGTCCCATGTGAGAGGTACAATTGCAGTAAAACGCCATTACCTTCGTAACTTGAAAATCCACAGACAATCGAGCGCGCGGTTAATGCGCACGGAAGGAACCGTAATGAAAAAATGTGGAAACGGGAGCATAGCGCGATATGACCTCCAGACACAGGATGCGTATATCTATTTTCACGAAAAAAAAAAAAAATTCCACGAAAAAAGAATTACTAAGCGTTAGTTCGTATTCGCGTTCGCGATTATTCATTCGTTCAATATTATCATCTATAATTTCAATCCGTAATTCCATATTCCTTTCCCTCCCGGCGGAGCTTAACGTTGAAACGCTTAAATATTAAACGTTAAGTATATCTGTATATGATCGACCGGGTTTCTCTTTATATGGATGTCTCTAATATAAATTTTCAACCCCGACACACGCGGGCGCTTGACAAACGCACTCGCCGAGGAATATTAATTGCCCGTGAAGAGGCGGACGTAAATACGAAATACAAGTGAGGTGCTCTGAGGAGACATAATGTTTCGTGGAAATACCGAATAGGCGCGAGCTAGAGAGCCTCCGATGTTGCCCGATCAAAGATGGTGGATGGTGCGGACAACCACCGTCGTATATCGCCATATTTTCCTGCTTGCGGCAGCTCTCTCCGCGGCATTCACAGTCGTTTAAATTACTCGTTCCTCTCTGTCGCAAGCGAACGCGCGTCTTACAGTATCAGCCTCGTGGCTGCGAGTAGAGCCGTCCGGTGGCTTCCAGTTCCGCGGAACTGGAAGCCACCGGACGGCAAATAGTAACCACCGGTTAAAAATAACTCGGTCACGGCCGGTCTCGCCTTGACGAAAGCCGCCTTCGATAATTTACGCGATTTTAAAAGACTCCGACGCGAGAGCGCGAACCCTGGGAAAATATTGATCCACATTCGTCATCGCGACGGAGCGCTTCCCGGCAGTAACGTCCATGTGTACGTCGTAGACGAAACATTTCAATTACGCCGCCTCGTCGTTCTCTCGTTTAAACATAGATTAACCGCGCTTCGAGACAGCATTATTCAACGTTTATGCCAATTATCCTCGCAGACCAAAGAATATGCCGCGCGGCATACGGGATTTCCCATGCGAGAGCGCGACAAACTCGCGACTCGCGACAAAGAGAACGTGTATGAAATCTGTTTTTCCATCTAGCGGTGAAATTAATATATTTTTTTGTTTTGTTTTTCTATGCCACATTCTGTATTTTAATATCGTTCGCAATATTCTATAAATGGATACCGCAGAAACTTCCGCATCCTTCATGGATGTTATTGACCGCGCTGTAATTTTTCGTTCTGAAAAGATCAGGAAAATCCCGTGAAAATCTTTGCTGCCTCCTCCTCCTTTTTTTTTTCCATCGGGACATCCTGAGACCATCTCGTTGCTGGTAATCGCTCGCGCATTTTCTCCTTTCCTTCTTTAGCTTTTCTATCATTCTTTTTTTTACAGTAGTATCCGACGCTTCTTTAAAGCCGACATTAAATCGATACTCACTCCCGAGGGAACTCTTGGCGTCTAAAGTGCCTGTTTTTCAATAGGTCGCGCATACGTCTTCACGTAACATTTACTTCTTAAGACGAGGCACGATGTGCACGCGACTTGGTATCTATTACTCTCTATGCAACAGATCTACTATATCTTGCATGCAATGTAACGTTATAAATTGCGCTGCTGGAATCACTGGAATCTCTCGTCGCCGGCAATCTCACCGTCGATAAAAATCTACGTTACTCTTCACGCAATCCTGATGGTATACTTTAACGAGGCAAACAATTTTTGCATTTTATCCGCGCGAAACTTCCCTCTGATGAAATATGCGTTTATCTTTCTCTCTCTCTCTCTCTCTCTTTCCCTCCCTCTTTCCTTGTTTTTAGACCGAGTTACGTCAATCTTCACGCTTATTTAATGCTCATCGGCAGAAAAAATAATCATCGATGACAATTTGTGTCCGAGCGAGATGCAAACAACTCAAATCGTCAATTTGCCGCGTTGAACGCTTCATCTCGACCCATTTAGCATATTCATATATTCATTAACCTTGAATTCGGGCTACATCGCAGCGACACGTTAAGAGCGAAGACTTTCAACTGAACATCCGACGGGGGATGTACTTGCTTATTCCACGTTCACAGGGGTGTTTCGCTAATGAGAGTTTCTCTCAGGACAGTAGCGCTCCAAAAAGCCCTCTCTCAGTCTTGCCGCTTAACATATCTTTCATTCGAGCGTACGCATAAC